AATTCAGTGTTCACTCAGCTTAAATAAAATGTTTTCGAGAGAATTTCTGTTTAACTATGCAAGAATGAAAATTACACTTTTACATAAATAATAGTATACTATTTAAATATAAAACATTTAAATTATTTTAAGAAGTTCTGTTAAAAAAAAGCCAAATAATTCAGTTATTAAATTTTGTTTATTGGTGTATTTGTAATACATACTCGTATCTTTCAAGGAATGACAGTATATTAAAGTTAATGCATGTAAACTAAATGTATGTGAAACGATGATAATAATTTATATTTTGTGTTGTAGGTACTACGTAGTTTATATTTTAACATCAGATTTGGTTGTCTTCTGCTATATAGTAAAGGCTTTATTATTGCTTAATGTTTATTAATAAAATCAAAAAAACTAAAACAAAGCATGCACTTTATTTTTTCTAATGTAGATTAAAAAAAATTGATTATTAGTGTATAAATTTACTGTTGCTTTAAAAGTTTTAACAATGCGTATCACACAATTTCATTTAAATTTCGACACATTATGATACTGTGTACCTTCATAAACTCTAAAAAAAAGAAATCGTTTACATATTTTAAGTATATGTGTATGACTTCCTGATTTTTACATGTTACGACACTGTCTCCAAACCTATCGATTGTTGTCATTCGTCAAAATTAGCGCGTGTGCGCAGTCTTCGAATAAATATGAGTCTTGAATACTTGTTATTACAGTTACAATTATTTTATATTGAGCTGGAAATATAGTTGTTTATTTGTATGAATCATACGTAATTTTAATCATTAATTACAGTAAAAAAAAATTACTTCCACCTTGAACCAGTTGTAGGTGTCTACCGACTTGTGACGTAATGAACATTTTTAGCTGTTTGTGTTTTGTTAGATAAATAAGTGTTTGTCCAGAATTTAAAATTTATTTATGTATGTAGCGTCTACATTATCATATGACCGAGTGCTAAAAAAACTACTATTTTTATTAGATTTCTAGCAAGTTAAATTAATGTTTTCTTTAGCTAAAATCAAATAATAAAATAACCTTCTAATAGCAAGTAAAGAAATCTTTATATCGTTATAACTACCATCTGTTATTAGATCCGTGAATCAAATACAAGCACCGCTTTCTACACTGTTATTGATTTTCTCCTCAGTGTATCGCTACCTTTTGAGAAAAGCTTACCAGATGTCGCTATCTGTACAGTTAGTTGAAAAGCTAGCATTGTGTAACAAACATGATTATATATGACTCAATAATGATGATACTATTGTTAAAACAGGAAAAATAATCTGAACAAATATATTTTTTGTTCTGATCCAACTGAACCGATTAAAAAAGTGAAAGTACTTGATTTTATTTTATGAATTAGTTGTCTATGGAATTTTTTAAACGAAAAATTATGTGCAGCCAGACAATCACACAAATTCTACACTATGAATTACTGGTGGATGCTTAAATAAATTTCTATATCCAAACATTGCAAATTATTGCAGAAATACTACAATATCTTGGTATTATGGAATTTAAAATCTATCAACATTATTGAAGCCAAATAAAGTTTTAAATTTTTTTAATAAACGTCTTTACAAACTGGAGAAACGTTTGATTCTCGAATATTGTAGAAATTTTTAAAAATCGCCGTATTCCACTATCTTTTGTTTTTAATTCTGCATAAAATAACAATAAAATTATAATGCAACATACCCAAATTTTGGAATAGTCAAGTAAGAGAAAGATATTATGTAAGATAAAAATAAACGTTAGGTACTCTTGCATGCAGTTATGTAAAAAATAGAAAAATTAATCTTTTGTGTACTTTTTAGGGAAAACTCAAACAAACACTGAAACCAGGTTTCGCAACTAGTGTTTCGTAACAAGGTAACTAGAGTAATTTTAAGACAAAAATATAAAATTCACTTCGAAATACTCTTTACTCGATATTTTTTTTTTTAGTCCAGCTGTTTCTAATTTATATTTTTTTTTGTTCTGTTAATTTATTCAGATAAAAGAGTTTTTTTCAATTACTTTTTTGTTAAATTTAGCTTCTTGAAAAAGTAAACAATATCAGGAATTTATGAAATGGTTGTAGATTGTATAGGTTTTTCTGGGACTAGTTTGATTAGCTTCTGAAATGGCTACAACTGGTGAAATAGAACGAATCTGGTTGAGTTGTGCATGTGGGTGAAAATAATATGGGTAATTATAAACTTGGTGGCCTTGTGCATTATATCTTCAGGTTTCCAACTTCAAAAAAAAAAATCATCAGTTAACTGATTCTCTCCGTCTCTCTCGTATCAATTGAACTTTTAATAATCAGCAAAACATCCAGAAAGTATTATAGTTTTGGAAATTTCATTGTACCCTATAAAATTTTATTGGCTATAACGAGACGGACAGGGACCATCGTTAGTCATGAACGGAAATGACAACTACCTGCCAAATGTTCTCAGACAAATTCGAGTGAACTGGTGTGAGCCATAAATATTTCTTACCATTGTACTACTGTCCGTCTTGTTATCGTCAATAAAATTTTATAGGGTAGAATGAAATTTCCAAAACTATACCAAACTTACATTTCCGGTTTTGAAAGAGCTAATAAAAGTAAATAAGAAAAACATAAACAGCAGTGTTTGGACTAAAACCTAAAACATTTGTGGAAGAAGATATCGACTTACCGATATATCTTACACTGGATTAAGGGATAGTACCTACTTTTTACACAAAAATAAAGATCTTCGGCATAGTTAGACTGTGTATTATAGGTAATTCAAACGTTCTCCAAAATTAAGCATAACATGTTTTTAAGACAATTTCCTAATGTTTTCTTGTAGACCGGTTGTAACACATAAAATCTGTTACTTCGTTGCGTCTTCAAAGTAAGTATTAACAGGCGTTCCATATACTTATTTGAAAATCACAAACATTTGTTTTGTTTAGAATTTTCTTTTACTGGAATTTGTTTAGTGGCATACTTTTATAAAGAAAAATCACACTGATTATGCCCGTCTGACGATTAAAATGCAGGCTATATACGACAAAGTATGAAGTGTTAAGTCCGTCGACTAATAAATCTCTACAAAATAGGTACCAAAATACAGACTACAGCAATCATTGTTCCGTATGAGGGAATTAGTACCACATGTTTTAGACATGTCTGGGATCAAAGAAACATTTCAATTTCCGTCAGTTTGTTCACCAAACTGCGGGAAAGATTCTGCAATCATTTTCTCAGATTTTAAATTTTTTTACGAAGAAATCTAACTATAAAGATTTCAGTTTTATTGCTATAATCAGTATTCAAATACAGTTGTCGACTTACCTAAAATATCGTTGTAGAGATAGATTAAAAATGTTAAAAATTAGCCACTGTTGTCATTCTGAACAATTCTTAAGTTTTCTGTAGCATTATAAAATGAGAAAAACTATGGATACAACCAATATCATGTATGTTTTCCAAATTCTCTAAGGTTATATGGCTGTTGTAAAATTAGAGTACTGTGAAGTCGATAATGGAGCAGTTAATAAGGCAAACCCACAATAATTGTAAATATTTTCGACTGTATACTATATGCAAACATTTAGTACGTTTATGGCTTTGACGTTTAAAGTACTTTATCGCGGACCCTTCATAAAATTTAGCAAATGCAAACCATGCCACGTGTCAGGGACGGCCGAGACAGTACTGCCCTGTGCGCACTAAATGTTTGCGTCTAGTATACCTGCCTCCGTCCGTCATCCATGTCAGAGTCAGATACAAGAGAATGCGTTACTCTTCCAAAATATGCAATTACTTGGACATATAACATTGCACATATTTTACACTATTTTATTTCCGAAATCTATATGTTCCATTTGTAAGTAAATAAAGTCTTAACTGCCTTGAAAAAATAATTGATGTTTTTTTAAAAATTACCAAGGCAATTATTCTAGATAAATAAGTGACCTATTTTCTACTATACGAGTAGATTTACAAAAAAAGTAGTGTAGTAATATTGCTATCCTTAAACAGTGACGTCGCTTATACAGGGTTTTCATAAATGATTCTAAGCGTCTGGTTGGCCATGGATTTCAAAAATCCCGCTTTGCTGAAATTGTGCCTCATTAGTAAGTACGTAAGTAAGTAACTAAGTTTATTATATATAAAAAGTCGGAGACGTATTACATGTCATTTATTTTATTATACACATACATATAACATACTTATAACAATTACAGATGGGTATTAAGATATTCTTAATGACAGTTTTCACTTGTCATTAATGTCATTTGTAACCTGTCGTTTAAAGTCATCGCTTTTTTTTGTTCTAACGTTTTTCAATACCCTGATTTGCAAATGCAAGAAATATCGTTAGAGGGTCACATTAGAGCTGTAATCAACAGATCTATTCGAAGTGGGAGTGTTAACTAAGGGAAATTTCCTTGAAGACCTTCAGTAGCCGAGGAAGTTGTTGGTGATTTGAGACGACTCGAGCAGAATCAGCAAACATCTTTGACAAGATTGTCTCAGCAGCCAGGAGTTCCTGTTGCAACATGACATTGAACAATGGGTGTAAAGCGCGTGTCGCTGGTCAGTGACTCTTATTGCCGATCGCGTCGCCTGATTTTAGAGAACCAAGGGACTACAGATGTTATGGACTTCTGTTGATAACCGCTATTAATTATTAAAAGGAATTGTACTTATCGACTCCGATGAAATGTCATCTAAAAATTTTGTACTGTTAAATGCCTTTTACAAAGCGAAAATCCCCAGAGTAACTAGATTGATTTCCGCACGACAGGGTAGAGGCGCTAAATGTACGTGAACTTTCCATGGATATAGGGATCGCCATGAAGCGTCGCCATCCCAAGCCGTTTGTGTACAAACCTATCTATTCTACAACCGTCGTCCAAAGCATTGACGAGAGGATGTAACATAATGGTGAACATTTTCAACATTTACTATGACATTTAACACCAATAAATGTATTTTTATTATAATGAATTAATTTTATTTATTAATATTGTCACGGAACTGCTAGTTGCCCTAGTTATGTAAAGATTGCCTCATGCCATGCTTGTGGGATGTCAGCAAAAACCTCTTTTTGCTGGCATTACGGAAGCTTAGGTGGGGGGCAGTGCGGACTGACGAAAGGGGCAGTCGGTACTAACTAGGGACAGGGAGAAGGAAAAAAGTGAGAGAAGTGAAGTGACGCACCGTACCCCCTAAGGATGGAATTTGTAATGTAAGTTGAAATATATTTAGTTTATTTAATGTATTTGGGATTTTTATTCTTAACGTCGGATCGGGTAATTATCCTTAGCTCTACCAATCTCTTCCCCCCTGACCCGGTCGTGACATATGGTGGAGGCGCCCAAAATTTCGCGCATATAGTGTTTTTTAAATCTTAAGAAAAAACAAAATCTTATTTTATGAATAATAAAAACCCCGCGGATCCAAAAACCCGTCAGCAATACAAAATCCGTATAGAAAAAGAGTACGGTTCGTTTCAACCAAAAAGCAGAAGTTCTGATATTCACGGAGTCGTTAAATTAGGGGGATGCGGTTGTGACACTTCAGAAACAGATCCGGAACCACTTGTGCTTAGTCCAATCCCCATCGAATTACCAGAAACCAACCTAAAGCAGTTAACATTGTCCGCACCAACTTCACAAAATTCTGAAACAGTAGACCAAACGTTCGATAAAATACCGGGAACAATCCCCAACAAATCGCCTCACTTCACTGAGCAAAACATCAGAGAAACAAACGACCCATCTAACGAAAAAATGGCCAACGTTACAATCACCGAGGCATTCACAAGCCAAAAACATCCATCGATCCCGAGCTTCATTAGTCCAGAAATTTTTGATCCAAAACGTGACGACCCACAGCGGTTTATCCAGAATTATGAGCGGGCAGCAGTGGCCAACGCGTGGAATGACAACTTGAAGATTTCATATTTCGGCTCATTTTTGTCAGGAATAGCGAACAGATGGTACGAAAATTTTGTTACGAATAATGCTACAAAAACCTGGACAGATGTGAAGAAAGAATTCCTAAAAGAATACAGAATGTCGGACTATTCGGAAGACAAGGAAAGAAAATTTGAAAACCGCAGACAGACCCGAGAAGAGTCAGTAAGAGAATACTTTTTGATTTATCCTTCCTAGCGTATGAACTGGACCCATTAATGGAGGACGAAAAATTTATCAAACAATTCGAGAGAGGCATGCACGATAAATATTTTAGCAACTACAAGATTCTAAAACCAGATGACGTTACCGTACCAGAACTTAAATCAATTATTGCGAAACTTGACGCTATAGAACAGCGAACAAAAGAAAGCCAAGGGTACTTTCATGACCGACAGGAAGTTGAAGAAGCGAATAAGTATACGAAATTTACCACAAACTCTAGGAAATTTGATAGTAGGCCACCACACTTAAATGGAGGCAATTTCAAGAAAAATGTACCAAACACCCGCAGCTCTAACGGACGACCAAGGTGCTACCATTGCGGAAGAATTGGACATTTTGCAGGCGCATGTTGGCACAATACAAGTGGCAACAATTACAAACAGGATCACCACCCAAACGCCAAGGGACGACGAAACTAAACCTCCCAGTCGTCCTTACGCAAAAAGGGAGAAGCAGCGGCACTTCAACCCTCAACAAACCTCCGCGTCTGCTAACCCTAAATGTACAAGTTAACAAACAACATCTTACCGCAATTGTAGATACAGGCGCCGCAACAAATGTTGTTGTCAGCAAAATAATACCGAAAAACGAAATTCGCAAGCAGCAGCAAATGTCTTTTTTATTAGCGGCGGGCAACGCGAAAGTTCCTATCTTAGGTACAACCTCCCTGACTTTAAGGGTAATGAATCATACAAAAAACATTTCAGCATACGTCGTGGAGAATTTACCCTATCCAATTATCTTAGGCATGGAATTTTTATGCAACGAAAAATCTATCATTAATTTACAAGATAACACGATTATGCTGACAGGTAAAGTTTTCGAACTGAATAAATCGTTTCATGTTTCACAACATACAAGCTATACGCAACGTAGGTCAGTTAAGGGGTACAACAACACCTTAGTCGACATTCCTAAAATGACTTATTATAAACAATGCGTTGATGACATATCGCAAACATTACGTGCAATCATAAAACGGAATAATAACACGGAAATGACACAAATTCGACAGAAAGAAACTATGACACAAGTCAACACTATACATGATTCACTTCGCGACCACAAATTACTGACACGGCAAGACCTAGACCTTCAAGAACAAGACACATACGAAACCTTCGCAAAAGCGAATTTTGACATTTTTGACACCATCACTAGTTGCAACATCTCCACCATGAAAGTCCAAAGAAACAGTTACCCTTGTGTCACATGGTTGTTCAATGAACAAAATAAATTAAACATACGCAAAATATATTCCACTAATAATAAATTAAATTTTGCTCTTAATGTGGCAAGTAACTATCAAATGATATGGCACGTTCTAAAAGAACTAAAACAAATAGTAACGAGGAAGAATATTACACACATGTATTTACAAAAACCAGCTGTGAATAATACCCAAATTAAAGTTGCCGAAATTATCCGTATGATTTATTACATTTTCAAAGACACACCTATTAATATTTATATTTTTGAAAATTCAATTTCCACTTCAGAAATAAATTCACAAGATTACAACACTGTAACTGTACACCAGACATCTTCCCCCTTATGTGATTCAGTTTCTGCCCAAACGAGTGATCAATTGCAGCAAACCGGCGACCGAAACACACACATATTAAAACTATGTCTATCAAAAGATTATAAAATGGACCCACATACGAAAATTACGGTAAAGCTTACCTTAAATGGAGACGTCAGGGACATCACATTACCTCACTTATCAAACAATAACAAATTTTTGGTCAAAAAAGGACTCATTTTAAACGTTGCAGACGACTTTACGTCAGGAACATTAGAATCTCGAGGTCATAATGCATTAAAATTATTTAAGGGTACTGCTGTTGCGTACCTAGAAGAACTTGTGATAGACAAACCCTTATTTTTAATAAATCAACTACAAACGGGCCAAACGAAAAATCGCGAAGTTAAAATTGACTCTAAATTGTCCTCTCAACAAAATGAAGCAATTAAACATTTAATTAACTCATACAGTGATATATTTGCGGACGACCTAACCGAAATAGGCTCTACGCAGCTAGTTGAACATAAAATACAATTAACAGACAGTACTCCCATTAAAAGCAAACCATATAAAGTATCCCCAAAAGAACACCAAATAATTGAAGAGCAGATCACGGAAATGCTAGAACAAGGTGTAATTAGACCTTCCCAATCTCCGTACTCCTCCCCAAGTGTTTTGGTAAAAAAGAAAGGCGAAAAAGAAAAAGTGCGATTTTGCGTGGATTACAGAAAGTTGAATAAGGTGACAAAAAAATCCAATTACCCATTAAGTAATATAGATGAAATTCTTACGTATTTCGGAAAATCTAACTTTTTCAGTACGTTAGATCTTTTTAGCGGTTTTTGGCAAGTTGGAATAGAAGAAAACTCTAAAGAGTACACAGCGTTTGTAACACCAGGTTTCGGACTTTTCGAATTTAACAAATTACCTTTCGGTCTGTGTAACGCCCCGTCGACTTTCCAGGATCTAACGGATAGAGTTTTTCGGGGACTGAAATGGTCGTCCGTTCTAGTGTATCTCGATGACGTGATTGTTTTTTCAGAAACTTTTGAGGAACATTTGGACAAGTTGAAAGAAGTTTTTCAAAGATTAAGAGACGCTAATCTTACATTAAAAACTCAAAAGTGTACGTTTGCAGCTACGCAGGTGAAAGTATTGGGGCACATTGTTAACAACAATAGCATACGACCGGATCCTGAAAAGCTCGGCGCAATTAGAGATTTTCCCAGACCAAAAACTGTTAGGCAATTGCAAAGTTTCTTAGGTTTAGCCAATTATTATAGAAAGTTTATCGCAAATTTTTCTAAACTCGCTCATCCCCTGCATAAACTACTATCAAAAAATTTCAAATTCAAATGGGATACGGAACAAGAGGATGCTTTTAATGTTCTAAAAAATAAACTCTGCGAGTCTCCCGTCTTAGTGCATTTCAATCCCCATATCGGTTGCGAACTTCGAGCAGACGCGTGTAAAGATGGTCTAGGGGTGATTCTACTTCAGGAATACGAGGGGCAGATGCACCCTATGGCATATGCCAGCAGGTCATTAACAAAAGCCGAGAAAAATTACTCAATCACAGAATTAGAAGCTTTAGCAGTCCTATACGGTTTAGTGCATTTTCGACACTTTGTTCTTGGTCGCCCCGTTACAGTAAAGTCGGATCATCACGCTCTTTGTTATTTGAAAAACGCAGATCAGTCGACAAGCAGGTTAACTCGCTGGGCGATCAAATTACAAGAATTTGATTATCAGGTAATATATAAAAATGGTAAAGCACACACCGATGCCGACTGCCTTTCACGCAATCCAGTACTTCCCGCTCCTGAAGAAGAATCTGACCTTTTCGACGTACCTACCTTCCTGCTGGACAACGTAGATATTCGCTTTGAACAACAGAAAGACCCGGGTTTACAACAACTAATACAAATAATTGAGGATCCAGAAAACAACGAATCGACAATAGCTTTGAGGAGAAAATCCAAAAATTTTACACTAATCAACGGCGTCTTATACAAAAAAAAAATGCAATACCAAGTGGAAATGATAACCTCCTAGTAGTCCCGCATCATCTGAAGCACGAGATCCTTTTTGCACACCATTCCGAACCCTTGGCAGGACATTTAGGGATAGCAAAAACGTTCCATAGAATTAAAGGGCGATTTTACTGGGACGCTATGCAGTCAGATGTGGAAAAGTTTGTAAAAGGGTGTGCAGACTGTCAAGCGCGGAAGGGCGAACAACATAAGAAACCAGCCGGACTTCTAAAACCTATTCAAGTGGGGTTGCCATTTGATAGAGTAGCCATAGATATCTTGGGACCATTCCCAAAGAGCAAGAGAGGAAGTGTAGTCATAGTTGTAGCCACAGATTATGCAACAAGATGGGCTGAGACTCGGGCGATGGCTAATGCTAAAGCAGAATCAGTGGCCAAGTTTATTTTGGAACAGATACTTACGAGACATGGAAGCCCAAGATACCTTTTGAGTGATAGGGGAACCAACTTTCGGTCGCAAGTGGTACAAGAACTGTTGAAATTGATGGGTGTTTATCACAATTTTACAACAGCTTACCATCCACAGTGTAACGGACTGACAGAGAGGTTCAACAAAACACTCGCCGACATGCTCGCCGTTTTCACAAGCACCAGCCAGAAAGACTGGTGCCAGTATTTAACTCACGTAACGTTCGCCTACAATACAGCTCGTCAAGATACCACTCAGTTTTCTCCATTCATGCTTGTCTATGCAAGAGAAGCAGTCTTACCTACGCAGGCAAATCTTCTGCAGGAACCGCTGTCAAGCTACGTGTTTGATATTAGAGAAAAGGCATTGGCCGTTAGGAACTGGGCTGTCGAAAATATTTATAAAAAACAAAATATTGATAAAGAAAGATTCGACGAAAAACATAGGCACGTTGAGTTCATGCCTGGGGAAAAAATAAAAATATTTACTCCTATTAGAAAAGTGGGAAAGAGTGAAAAATTATTATTAAAATATTTCGGTCCATATACGGTGATAAGAAAAATGGGGGATGTGGATTACGAGATTAGAAAAGGCTCGAAAAAAGAAGTTGTACATGTAAGTCGACTTTTAAAATATAATGATCCATGGAGTCCACAGGTGAGTAGCGACAAATAAACAATGTTTTCATTGATCTACTTTTGCATCCATTATAATGAGATAATTTTGTCGAACTATATAAAAGCGTTGGGTGTTAGTTTTTATTTTAAATGTATGCTTTGTTAACGGGGGTTTACGAGAACTTTTCAAACGTGTGAGCCTGCGTGTCGGAAAAAGACATACAAATAGTACAATTTTTAAGTTTAAGGTAAAACGAATTCAAAATAAATGTATTAACATGGCTTTCCTACAGGCTGTTCGCTATCTTACTAATCAGTCAAAATTCTTGCGTTGGAGGACAAATAGAAGTGTCGGCAGGAGCATTCTGGAGGCCCCTTGTGGAGACTTTGAATTACGAGGCAACCATACCAATAAAGTATACAATGGCGTGGTTCAAACCACAAACAAACAGTACGGGCACATCAAAACAATGTAGTGGCGATCACAATTGCGAGCTGGCGACCGCTATGCACCAGTTAATGGAAGCGGTTGACGGCGAGCTGGAACCACAAGAGTCGGAAGAAGGATGGCAGCTTTTTGAAGATCAACAGCACAGAGAAAAACGCAGCCTGGATTTTCTAGGAGAGGGACTGGCTTGGTGTTGCGGCGTTGCAACACAACACAAACTAGACTCGCTGCACATGGAAGAAAGGGATTTACAGAAAAAACTTCGACAATTGGAGGGGGGCCTATCTGAAAATATCAAAACGCTAAGTCAAAATTCTGTGGAATTTAAAAAATATACAGATCAGGTCGGGGAGGCTTTTAAATCCACGGAGAGGAGGATTAAAGAAATGGAAAAATCCATCACAAATTTTAGGAACAAGACGAATGAATGGGAAGGATTTTTCGGTACTTTAATAGAAAATCAATTTCAGAATACTAGACGTATCGTAACAATGTGGCGCGCGTTGGAACAAAGGGACGTAAAACTGTCATGTCGACAACACCAAATACCAGAAAAGGTGTTGCGGCCCCAACTTTTTCAAGCGAACTTAATGGAACTTCAAAAGGAATTAATCAAAGCAGGTCACGATTTAGCTATTGCTGTCACGGATATACACAGGTATTATCAGTTACCAATAACAGATTGTGTAATTTCAGGTAATAACATAACACTGGTAGTACGAGTGCCCATCGTACAACAGGGCATTAGGTGGAGTTTGTTTGAGCTCATAACTGCACCCTTCAGTTGGTACAATCAGAGTTGCAGAATAGAGTACAGCACCTTGTTTTTGGCGGTGGCAGAAGCTCCCTACACTAGACACCGGAGGCACAATTTGTACCGACAAACTTCTGGTTTGGGGTTGCATCAGTGCAGGCCGCACTCCGACAAACTGTGCTTTCTTCCTCGATTCGGAGAGGATAAACTTCATGGGCCTACGTGTGCACGAAAATTATATGAAGGTGCGACAGTGGAGGAATTAAGTTATCACTGCCCCATGAAATGTCACGCATCGACATCGCTTACCATCACAGAAGTCGAGGAGGATTTATTTATAATAACAAATTTAAAGGTAGGCGCTTATATAAGTTGTCCCAGCAGTAATAAAACCCTAACTGAATTCGGAAGCTTATTGGGCGCGTTAAAAATAAAACTTCACTGCCAGTGTGCACTTGTTTACCTGCATGATGTAATAATACCTAGACGTTTTCCCTGCTTAGATACTATCCCTCGCATCCACGTAAATCACATAATTCCAGCAGCGTGGTCGAATCTAAAATCTTTCATTCTTAACCCCATTCATACCCACTCGTTACCATCATATAACAACTTTTCGGAATGTATTAATCCAAATTGGTCATTGACTATTCCGCATTTAAATTTAACCTCCCCGAATAAACTTCTCCAAAATTTTGTCGCAAATATTCCAGAATCACCACAAATTTTTTCTTTTGCGGACAGTTATGGTGTACATACATCCGCTACTTTAGTTGTTTGGAATCTAATCTTAACTGTTTTATTAATATATATATTTTGGAAATCCAACCACCCAGCGATAGCCTCCCCCAACCAACCATGTAACCCTACCACCTCCCTTCTACTACAAGGGGGGGAAGCCGTTAGGATAACTGTAGATGACGCGTCGTAAATTATATATATTATCACCTTGTGGATCTTGTCTTAATATTTGGACTCTCGATTAAAAAGATCGTTAGACAAATGCTGAGGCAATATCTGTGCAGGTCGATTGAAGCCTGCAGGCATATATGTATTACCCATATATAGGTTATATGTAGATAATAAGTAGTTGTCCACTGTTTTATATTTTAGATCGGAGATTGAACATAGATTTAGAAAGTTATTTAGATATTGTGTACTGGCTTCGCTTTATCTATTTTGTAGGAGTATAAGGTAATTCTAATGAATGAATTTTTTTTATGTTCTGGAACCGGGTCTGGCAACGGGAGACACCTACCATACATAAAGCGTTCTTGCTCGAGACAGAACCAGCATGAAAAAAAAAAAAAAAGGCCCTGACATCACTCTCGCATACGACGCTCTCGTTCGAGAACCAAGCTTCTACGACGACGAGTTCTCCTTAAAGAAGACTCCAGTTAACAACGGGACTTCGGCCAGTAAGCTGGGACGTTAAAATAGCGCTCATCAACTGCTGCAATTAGTAAGAGAGTGCCGCTTGTCGCGAGAGATTTTAAAATAGTTGCTTCAAAAGATAAATACCTTAAATCAATTTTTGTCTTATTCAAGTGTGTAAAATGTTGGTAGGGTCTTCCTGGGTATGTCGACCAGAAGAATGTAATTTTGTATCGTTGGGTATCTTTGTTATTGTAGTAAAGTAAAGTAGGAGTGAAGTCTAATATGATTGTATATTTTATAGGGTTGTGTTTGCAAAATGGATAATTTGTGGCTATGTACGTTTTATGCATTGTATTAGTTAAGAGATATCTGTTTGTAAAACACTGGAGGTCCAGTGTTCCTTAAGGGGGGAGATGTGTCACGGAACTGCTAGTTGCCCTAGTTATGTAAAGATTGCCTCATGCCATGCTTGTGGGATGTCAGCAAAAACCTCTTTTTGCTGGCATTACGGAAGCTTAGGTGGGGGGCAGTGCGGACTGACGAAAGGGGCAGTCGGTACTAACTAGGGACAGGGAGAAGGAAAAAAGTGAGAGAAGTGAAGTGACGCACCGTACCCCCTAAGGATGGAATTTGTAATGTAAGTTGAAATATATTTAGTTTATTTAATGTATTTGGGATTTTTATTCTTAACGTCGGATCGGGTAATTATCCTTAGCTCTACCAATCTCTTCCCCCCTGACCCGGTCGTGACAATATAAGATAATAATTTATGCAACCAGTTATACAGATGCGTGTGGTATCTGTCGTGACTGAGTCCTTGGGCCTTTAATAAAATCCGCATAAAGTGATAGGCGGCACCTTTCCATGGCTTACTTCAACCCTATAATCATTTATGAAAACCCTGTACTTGAGGCGAAGTATTTTTCGAAACATGAACGGACAAATTGTATTTGTATACAAATGAGCAATATAGATAAAGCTGGATCTGCGCTGGTTGGCCAAGATATTGGGACAAATCCTTGATTTGTGACGGTATGCTCGTGCCGGAGACTAACCCACGAAAGGGATTATTATTTCCCATTATTAGGTTTAGTGGGGGCATACAAACCTATAGAATTTAGAAGATTAGATTCAACATTGAGTAGTAAATTAAAACATGGTCAAACATCTGAAAGAAAAATTAAACCGAAGGCCTAGGAATTTTTTAAATTATTTTTTCTTTGTTCAACAAACAGTCCTTAACAATGTGTCATAAAGTTAGTGTGCCATCCTGAATAAGAGTTAAAAAAATAAAATGTATAGTCAAATTTGATCAGTAAATCCAACTGACTAGATACTGTGTATGAAAATTTCTGCAAGGCAATGCAGGACTCTAGGAAATTTAATTAGCGAACAATGGAAACATTTAGAACAGGGTATTAAGAAAGCAGCAAACATAATATTAAGGATTAAACAGAAACTAACTAAGAAAAGTTTAATGCAGAATACAAAGAAAATAGATAAGAATGCATGACCGAAGAAACAAAATATTGCAAATAAATAATGAAGCACATCTAGAAAGGTAAAAGCTCAAAATAAAGTAAAACGGAAAAAGTTTATAGGAAGACAATGAAAACATTTTGTCAGAGGAAACTACAAAAGGTAGAAGAACATTATAACAAAAAATAAATTAAGAACTTTTTTTAATAAATTAAAAAGACAAAGCATGGGAATCAATCAATTACAAAATTCATAAAAACACAACGTATTAGATGGTTAGAACATGTTGGAAGAAGAGAGGAGACCCGGAAGTTGTTTACCTGAAGACGTTAAAAACAAACAAAGAGTCATATTTTTATAATTTTCAGTAATAAATAAGAAAGTCCGTTCCTAAACTGCAGGTATATACCTACTCAAGTCATGGATGGCCTTAGATTTTGAGAGGAAATAGATGTATTGAAATTCCGTAAACGCTATTGTTTTTAGCTTAAAGAGGGAAGCTTAATTTAGTATACTGTAAATGTGACACATGCATATACGTCAGCGGCGCAAATCTAACTTTTTTCAAATACTTAGCAACGTACATAACATTTCGGTGTTTATTTCATTTTCAGTTGATAAAAAAATAAATTTATGAATATAGGAAAATTAAAATTGAAACATGTATCACGACAAAAATAAATCTAAGGGAGTTAGGCCATCGAGTAATTTCGTAATTTAATGATCAATCAAAATCCCTTAAAAAATAAACATTGTCATGTATAAAAAATATAGCTTTGCAATGCAACACTGAAAAAGGAGGTTGTGGTCAACGCACGTAGGGCATGGTAGATAGAAGAGCTAATGTTTATTGGAAAAAAATAGGATAAGCTAACGTACATTAAGCCTCTCTTTATGAGATCGGATCATTTGTACAAAATTAACCTCCCCCTTCAAGCTAAACATAATGGAGTTGACAGAATGTCAAAATTTTTATCCCTTTTCAAGATATAAAATTTGGGACGCCTACACATAGGGGATTGCTGGCTTTCAGTGGCAAGGGAACTACAACTGTGTATATGTAAATGAACTACTAAGTATATGTTATACTTAGTAATTCTGCTATGAATTTCTGCAATGTTTTTGTACAATTGTAACCGTAGTTACAAGTTAGAAGTAGCAAATAATTACATGATTTTCAACTTTTAAAAATATAAGCGTGAAAAACAAAATAAGTACGTAATTTATGTGGTAGAGAAACGATAAGTTCAATTTTCATCTTAAATTAGTATGTGTTTTACGATCCTAGGGAGCAATGTTTATTTTCCATCTAATAAAATCTCACATTAGAGTGTCATCGTGGTAGCGTGTGGTATTGAAATCTGTTTAAAAAGCTTCAAACAAAACAGTTAATATGCAAAATTAAATATGCTTGATGTGGCACAAAAAGTAGATAGTTTGGTACGTATAAGCAATAATTAATCGATGCAGATGTGAATTTTTACTGAGTATTTATTTGCACTTTTATTTATTGTGAATAATTTAAATATAGTTTCAAATGGAACCAGCGTTTGTAATTTTTATGAAGAGCGTGATGTTTAATTTTTTGTGAAATTTTATGGCAGTTCTATTATGTATGGCTAGTTTTTCAAACTATGTCATAGTTACCTTAATTCACCAGGTGATGTAACATATTCAAGAAACGGAATTCATTTTAACAATTAACGGAACATAATAAGTTTATGTTGAGGTATATAATAAGGAAAAAAAATGTCCGCTTTTTTAATTTTGCGGAGTACGAGCAGTTTCGCTGAAACATCTCTATTAGGTTGTGTGTATGTAAAGAAATTTTCCGTGTTTATATTTTATCTTGTTTTCTTTCCACCACATGTCCTCATACATGTTTAATATATCGGCATGAAATTGCACGCGTTCCGGGCAATTTCGGGCCGGACGAAGTGGTCAGTCAGCCAGCAGTTCTCTCTCCGGCACTGCAATATTTCCGGCCTGGCCATAAACAAGCGAGCCTTTATACCCGCCGTTAATTTAACGATACCACTTCAAATTATTGTTATTATATTTTACGAGTCTACTCCACAATATTACATAAATATACTTGGACTTCATATACACAAGTTATTGGGCTACAAAACAGACGCCGGGGCTGTGCATTTTTTAAATGAGGGCTTGAGGTGAATTATCCTAACAACAGTTTTCCGGTTACAAAAATCTGAAAAATAATTTACATAGACCATAGCTTTTATTTTGAATATCGCTGTCTCCAACTTCATGATATGCGTTATAATAACAAGGTAACTCGAAACAACGTTATTAAATTAAGTTTTAGGGAAACTGGGCGAACAGTTTTTGAATTAACGGATAACGGATTTTGAGCCTTCTTATTTATGAGGTACGGGTCATACAGAACATTTGATAATTTTTTAAGACGTTAAGTTACCAGAGAGGTGAGTCATAAAGGAGAGATGGATGGATACTCATCTGAGGATAACATAAGAAAACAAGATAGTAAAGAACAGCAGGATGTATTCAAAAGAAGTAAAAAGTTAATAAGAACCTGAACAAAGCAGACGAGAACAAAATGCATAAATTGAAAGAAATTATGATAGAGTTGATGAAGAATGTAAGAGAATTGAAACAAGACCACAAAAGGTGACAGGAGGTATGAAAGAACTGAAAGGAGAGAATGAAGGCGTTAAGAAATATATAATTAATATGAGTGAGAGAATTGGGAACTTAGAAAAAATAGAATAAGACACAGATAATCTTAACTGGAATGAATATTGATACAAACAACAGAGCAGAATTAAGAAGCGCGATGAAAATCTGCATCGAACAAAAAATAGCAGTAAAAGTAGATGACAAAGAGGCGATTAAGACATCAGGGACGAAAGCATGCAAGACTGAATTATAAATTATGCAGAAGAAACGCGAGATAATGACAAATAAAAATGAACTAAAGGCAATGTAAGAAAAGATATACTTGAATAACAAATTAACAAATAACGAATTAGAAATACTAACGAGAATAAGTGGTGGCACAGGACAAGAATAAGTGAAGAAAAGTAAAAATTAATATGGGGAAAAAAGAAAACTATAAAAGAACCCAAATGAAACCAAAAAACCTAAGAAGGAATAGTAAGGCAAATAGAAATAGGACGAACTAGGAAAACGAATTAGATATCAATAAGGAAATGATTAAAACACGTTATAAGAAAAAGAATAGTGATGAACACAAACGCAGATGGCGAAAGTAGAAAATACAGTAAGTGTAGAAACATACGAAGTTTAAAAGGAAAAGAAGAAGAATTATTGGTAAAGGAAATAATTATACACAAAGTGGAGGTACTGAACACACAAAAGAAAGGAAGGGAACACATGAATTATATTGGTTATTCTGGTCAGGTATAGATCA